CGAATTTCTTTTTCTTTTTGTTTTTCGAGATTGATTAAGGGTTGTGACATTATCGAAGGATGTATCTGACTTGATGTTTGTTTTGGAGTTGGATTAACTTTCAATTCATTTTCTTTCTTCTTTCGCAAAGCTGGAGTAACAATTGGTCGAGGATTATCTCGAAGACTTTTGTGAATTTTCTTTTCTTGATTACCTTTATGATCTTTACTAATGTTATCACGCTTTCTTTTAAAAGCAGCAACCAAGTAGTCGTTTTCATCTTGAATTAAGTCAATATCTTCTAAATCATTGATGTCTTCTTCTTCGATTTCATCCTCAGATAATTCATAACTTTTTTTTTGATCTTCTATTTCTTCATGGAAGTAGTCATTAGCTGAAGATTGTTGATATTTAACGAAAGCTATTTTATTGACAATGGGAGTGCTTCTTCTCCCTTTTAGTGATTTAAACGTTTGTTTTCGAAGTATTCCTGACGATTCTTTTTGATAATAGCATTAAGTTTTGGACATTCGGTTTGAAAATGACCTTCTTCACTACAAAAGAAACAGGTACTAACAGTTAAACCTTTTATTCTTTTAGTTAAGTTATCAACAGTTGAATCTTTTTCCTTTATTTTTGAATCATTAAATACTTTTCCTTTAGATTGGTTGTTATTAAAATTTGATGATTTATAAGAATTGTTGAAATTTTTTCTAAAATTTTCGTTTATTTCTTGGTTAAAGGTAGGCATCAATCTATCTACTTTTTCAGCTATTGCAAATGCTTTCTTTAAAGAAATGTCATCCTTGAGTGAAACCTTTTTCCAAGCTTCTTTATTATTTTTCAAAGAATCAGCATAATCCAATACACTAATTCTTCTTTTCCTCTTTTTATCGAGTTTTAAATAGAGTGATCGATAGCGAATGTTAAAATCTTTAACTTTTTCATACTTTTTAATTTTTAAGGAGCGAAGTTCCTTAAGCAAGACGTTTTGATCTTCTTTTTTTCCATAAAATGTTTCTAACTCATTAATAATTTCATCAAGACTTGGATAATGATTATCTTCTTCATCATCGCTATCATCGTCATCATCGTCATCATCATCATCGTCATCGTCATCACTAAAGTTTTTGCCATATTCCATATTTTGAATTACTTCTCTTGGTTCACCAGTCGAAGTTAAGATACATGCCGTAAAAATAGTTTCTGGATCATCTACATGTTGATATCTGATCCAAAATTTTAAATCTGAAGCCCAAGATCTAATATCGAGATGTTCTTTGCTTAGTTTTTCTATGTCTTTTAATTCTTTCTTGAGTTCTCTAAAGCTAATAGCGTGATTTTTGTTTATAACAGTTGGAATTGGAACTGAAGGATTTGAAGTTGATGGAGAAGATCCTGAACTCATTTTAACTAATATTGAAAGTAACAGAATAGAATTGAGCAAAATGAATGTTTGAAAATAATTAATAAATAATATTGACTGAAGTAATATCAGATTTTTCTTGAAGTTAATAATTCTAGTATAAACTAAAGTCCAATGACAACCAAATATACTATTGAAGATATAAACTAGTGTTACACTGACCCCCAAATATATCTGAAAAGAATAATATATAGATATAAACTAGTGTAGTGATAACCCCTAAATATATCGGAATAATAAATAATATAGATATAAACTAGTGCTTTGTCTTGCCCCTAAATATATCGGAATAATAAATAATATAGATATAAACTAGTGCTTTGTCTTGCCCCTAAATATATCGGAATAATAAATAATATAGATATAAACTAGTGCTTTGTCTTGCCCCTAAATATATCGGAATAATAAATAATATAGATATAAACTAGTCTTTGTCTTGCCCCTAAATATATCTTGATAATTGTATTGTTCTTTACTTTCAAAAAAAAAATTTTAATGTAATAGACTCTTCGAATTAATGGTGTTGTTGTGTGCTTTTGTTATTATCAATTGGCAATGTGGTAGGAAACTTTTTCTGAGTGGACCGTAAGACGACTTTGATATAACTCAAATAAAATTTAAAAATAAAAATATTATTAGTAAACAATTAAAAAAAATAAAATATGATTTATTAGAACAAAAAAAATTTTATGGAATAATATACATATAAAAAGAGCATTTCCTGGAATTTTCCATATCCAGTACTAAAAAGTAGGTATGTAGTGCTTGAATTACCACAGCTTGCCTATTACGGTGTCATGTAGTAATCAAACCAGACGCTTCTGCTTTCAAATAAACAGAACGACCAGAGCTCAAGAATGACCTTTCAGTTCTTGAGATAAATTAATCCGGAAACTACCTACTGTTGGAATTTTAGTACTAGGTATGCTTCTAAACCGTACTAAATCCCTTTTTATATGTTTCCAATAAATTTTATTTTATTAAAGCTTCACCGGTAATTGCTTACCTATCACTTTAATATTAAAAAAATTAACAAAAAAAATTGTTTTATTAGAAATATTACTATCCTATTATTGTTTACTCTATATTTACGATTATTAACTTCCCCGATATCTCCACCACTTTTTATGTTGAGGTTCGGGACAGAATAATAATAAATATAGAAATAAATACTAAAAAAAAAAAAAAATTAAAAATTAAAATATATCTTTTTTGAAAATATTTTATTTATTTATTTAATAAAAATTATTCAATTAAAAACTAAAAATAAATTAATTTCTTTAATAAGATTATATTTTTTTTTTTCAGATTATTTTTCTAAAATACAATTTTCTCATCTATTTATATTTTTTTTATCGTTAGAAATGGTCAAGCCATTTCTTTAGAATATCTTAGAGTTACATGTTTGAATTGTATTTAAATTATAAATTCATAATCTATTCTATTATAATAAATAATTATTGCATATTATTAAATTCTAAACTATTTATTATTAATTGTAGTGATAATATATTTTAAAAATAATTTTATTACTTTTACAGAACTATTAGTAATAGAGTATTATTTAATTTTATACTATTTTTAAATAAAAGTATTTTAGATTATTATCTATTATTAATCTTATTATAAATAGGGTGTATTTTGGAAGGAAGTATTACTAATTTTAATGACAAGGATCATGGATTTAAGTAAAATATTTTTAAATCATTATTAATTATATTAATTTTTATTAATAATAAATAATCTGTATTAGTAATATTTGTAAAATAAAATTTTCTTTAATAATAAAATATTGATAGAATAAATCATATTAATAAAACTAGATATTGATAATAATATTGATATTAATAATATAGTATTAATTTTAATAATAAAGTATTGATATTAATAAAGAATGTATATTAATAATAATAAATTTAATATTAGTAATAATTTGGCAGTAATAGAACATAAGAAAGTTCCCCAAGTAAGGAAATAAATAATTTAATTTTAGTGGTTAAGTTATTTTTATGAAAAATAATAAAATTAACATTATTTGTTCATTCCTTAACAGAAATGTAAGAATCTATAATTATTTGCTAACAAATAATTATATTTTCTTAGTTAAGTTATTATAACTATAACTTTATTTAATTACATATAATATTTATTAAATTTATTTAATTTAATTTTAAATATTCATTAATTTAACAAAATTTATTTAATTAATTTTAAATAATATATTTACAATATGTTAAATTCTCTACTGTAACTAATGTATTTTGTATTGTATTTTATTCTGTATTTTATAATGTATTCTGTATTTTATAATGTATTCTGTATTTTATTAACTATTTAATTTTATATTTTTAATATAAGGATAAATTATATGATCGAAATATCTTTTATTATTTTATTCTTTTATTTTCGATCATTAGATTAGATTGGAAAATCGGTTAATTAAGATTTTTCCAATTACTTTTTAGAAGTAATCGGTTTTACTTAATTAATGTGATGATCGATATGGATAGAATATCGATCGAAAACTTATCTAGGTTTTTCTATCTAATCTTTTCCTAGATAAGAGATTTGTTAAGATTAGAAAACCCTTTCTTATTTAACCTTATTTTAATAAAAAAGTATAAATAAGGCTCTTGAGTTCTCTTTGAGAAATCAAGAGTTATTATTATAAAAAACATAGTTATAATAGTAACATTTTTATATTTTTAACTTTAATAAATTAATAAAAATATTTTATTCAAAAACATATTTTTAAGATCAATTTATACAAACAATTCTTTTCTTACTTTTTGTGTTATTATTATAATTAATTTTATAATAAACTCTACTCTAAAGGTAAAAAAAAAAATTTATTTTATTTTATTTTCTCAACTTAATGAATTAGTCGTTAAGTTGTAGTTAATAATTCTATTTTGAGTTAGTTCTTAATAGAATTATTACAAGAAAACTAATAAGTTTAAGGTATTATTTATTTTATTTTTTTAAACTTATTTTATATCGTTTTACCTTGTTTTATTTTAACAAGTTTTACCGATATTTAATATTTAAATTTACTTAATTATTTTAAAAAAAATGTTTTATTAAAAATTTATATAATATTTAATCTATATATTAAATATTATAATTCTTTTTATAAATAATTATAATAGTTAAATACTATAATATAAATAATATAGTTTATAACTTTATATATTTGTTATAATAATAATTTTTATTTAATATTTTTATAGTTGATTATACAACGTTGAGAAATATTTTTAATTGTTATAATTCATTATTTTTCTAAATAAATTCTCTTAATAAATTTCATAATTATTTTATAAATTAATTTCTAAAGAACTAATTATTCCATATAAAAAATTTTATATTTATATTATTATTATAGTTGGTGTAACTATATTTTCCAATCAAATGTATATAAATATTATTATTAAATAATATTATTATAATAATAAAAATTATTATAATTATTTAATATTATGAACAAGATTATTATTAAGTTATTACTATTTAATTATTTTAATATTTAAAATATTATAAAATCTTTTACTATTTCTTAATATATATTATTATTATTAATTAATAACAATAAATTAGCAGCGTAGCGCAGTGGAAGCGGTGGTGGGCTCATAACTCACACGTCGTATGATCGAAACATACCGCTGCTAAATAAAATATATATTTTTTAAGATTTATTTTTTAATTTACTTTTTTTATTTTTAATTTATAAAAAAACTAATAAAACTAAAAAAATAACACTAACACTAACACTAACACAAACAATAACAATACTAATAATAATAACAATAACAATAACAATAACAATAAAAATAAAAATAAAAATAAAAATAAAAATAAAAATAAAAATAAAAATAAAAATAAAAATAAAAATAAAAATAGAAATATGATAGTGAAAATAATAGTATTATTAGTAATAATGTAGTTAATAGATCAATTAGTTTTAATCGTGTTAAAATTAATAGTTTTTTTGAATAACGAATATGTAAATATATATGTGATGTGGTAACCGATTATATAATTTTCTTCTTGGTGGAAGGAATGCAGACATAATAGATTTAAATTATAAAAAGGAATAAATGAATAGGATATTTTTGTTTAAGAACGAAATCATTTCTGGTGATTATTCAAAAACGCCATTCTTAGTGCGATTTGCGGCTCTCTTTACAGAAATTATGCCTCGGGCTAGTGTTCGGCAAGGGTTACTATTCCGAAAGTATAAGCGCAAACTAACCAGGAGCATCAACGCTGAAAATGCAGTAAGACAGGCTAGCAGGGTAAATGCCTCTGAAGGAGAAGACCATAATTTCTTTCAGATAGTCAATTCAAACCTTAATCCATAAGGAGGTGAGGTTCGTTGCATATGAACTTTTTTTTTGAATTTATTTATTCACTTATTTTTGATTATTACTTTTTATTTCATGTTACTTTTTCATTTATTATTATATTCAAATTGGACAAATAATATTTATTTATTTTATTAATTCTGTGTTTTTTTTTTATTTTTTTATTAAAATTAAAAATATTCATGAATTTTATATAAGAATAAATAAATAAAGATTAAAGTCTGCAATAATTGTGGCTATAAAAAAAAATCTGGTTTTCGCCTATAAAGAATTGGAAAATTACAGAAATAAATCTTTAGTATTACTAGATGATCTCTTTTTGAAGTTTGCAATGATAGTTGAACAAAAATCCTTGAATGTTTCTTTAGATTCAGAAAAGGATTATGGTAATAATATTTATTATTTTATATTGAGTGCTCTTCTTGGAGGGCATTCAATATACGGAAAAATTAAAGTTAATGATGGGGAACAAAGACAATTAGTTGACAATATTTTTAAACAAAGTTCAACGTCGTCGACTGTTCCGTATTTTGTGGGGATTGCGGAGTTCTAACAAACGTAATACCATTAATTTGTCGATATTTGTCGATCTTTTTTAGATATATGATGAAATTGGTATTCCGTTGAATCTATTGAATCTATCGTTGCTAAGAGTGTCGACGTCGAAATGATAAGGCATTGTATTTTCACCTCCTGGTGAAAGATCTGATATAGATTCGTTTGATAACACTAATACTGAAATTATTACTCACAATAATGAACGTGGTGTTATCATCGATGAATGGGAAAAGTTAGAAAACTATTGCTTCTAACGTACTTTTATAATTATATAATTATATAATATTTCATTTAATGTATTTTATTTTTTATTTTTCATTTAAATCATGTAATTTTATTATTATTATTATTAATTAAATAAAGTTATTCTCTTCTATATTAATTACTATTTTTAATTATTGAAATTAATTATATAATTATATAATTAAATATATTTTAGTTATATTAAATAATTTAAACATATCGATATTGTTATTATCATAATATTTTATTAATATTTATATTACTATATTATTAATATCTTATAATCAAATACTATTATGTAACTTAACCAAGTATAAAAGAAAGATGTAAATATCTTTCTTTTATGTTCATTGTAAGGTTATTGTAAAATTACCTTAATAATAATATTTTATAGATATTTCATTATTAAATAAAAAAGAAATTTTTTAAAATCAATTAATAATAATATTTTATAGATATTTCATTATTAAATAAAAAAGAAAATTTTTAAAATCAAACTAATTTAATAATTTTAATTATTAAAATTAATTATAAATAAATTTTTATTTAACCAAATTATTTAAATATATTTACTATTACTATTATATATTTATATAGCAATATTACTATATAGACATTTTGACCTTGCAAATTTTTTTTTTTTTTTTTTTTTTTTTTTTTTTTACTAATAAAATATATTATTTTAATTTAAACATAAATCATATAAAAATCATAACACGTGATATAAATAATAATAGTGATATAAAACAAATATGTGTAGTAACATATTTGTATATTTAATAATAATTATTAAATATTAAATTTATATCTTTTTGATAATAATTGTTTTATTTTATTTATTTCAATATGTATTATTATAATTATAATAATTATAATACTTTATTTCATATAAAATTTATATAGTTCTATATAATAGAATATATAATTAATATATTACCTATTTCTTATAAAAAAAATTATTTATATTAGAAATAGAGAACTCTCTTGTAAAATTTTAGGAATTAGAATTATTATTTAATTGTACGAATATTATAATTTTATTAATAAAATTTACTAAACTACCATTATTTAAAACTCACTGCTTATAAATTATTGCACATAAAAGTCCCGCATATCAATAGTAAATAATAATGATTATAGTCAATAATTCAAGTGATACAGATTGGAATTCTTAAGCATAAAATTATTAGAAAGCTTGAATAATATCTAATCTATTCAACAACAAATTAATAAATTAAAATTTGAAATTAAAATCATAATAAAAAAATTTATTTTAATTAAATTCTAAAACTCGAAATTATACTTTTATTTTTATTTTTATTTTCATTTTTATTTTTATTTTTATTTTTATTTTTATTTTTATTTTTATTTTTATTTTTATTTTTATTTTAATTTTTATTTTTATTTTTATTTTATTTTTATTTTTATTTATATTTATATTTATATTTATATTTTTATTTATATTTTTATTTTTATTTTCATTTTTATTTTTATTGTTATTGTTATTTTTATTGTTATTGTTATTAGTATTAGTATTGTTATTGTTTGTGTTAGTGTTATTTTTTTTAGTTTTTTTATTAATTAAAAGTAAAAAAAGTAAATTAAAAAATAAATCTTAAAAGAAATAATTTATTTAGCAGCGGTATGTTTCGATCATACGACCTGTGGGTTATGAGCCCACCACGCTTCCACTGCGCTACGCTGCTAATCTGTTATTTTTTGATACGTAACCACTATAAATATGATATTTAGGTAGATTCTTTAGGTTAAAGAAATACTTAAATATTATTGGTCAATAATAATTTTATAATAATATATATAATTTTAGAATAATAATTATTAAACGGAGAATTCTTTTATTTATAAGTTTATACTTATGATAAATTAATTCATATAAATAGCTATTTTATATTTTATTTTAGTATAGTTAAAAAGAGATATTATATATATTTGAGATAATTAATTATAATATTTATATAAGAGAGTAATAATAATAATTTATGTAATAATTAATAATTAATAATAAATAAAGAGAACATTAAAAAGATATATTTATTACTTTATTTTATATTATTGTATGTGTTATTTCTAATTAATATTAGAATATATTATTTTGTCATAATTCCTTATTGTCATTGCCCATAAATAAATATTAATTTAGATACATAAATAAAATACCGTATCAAATTTGGTGGAGAATCCGGGCGTGACAATAGCAAAATAATATGAAAATAATATTAATAAAATAATACATCTACATAATAAATATATAATAAATATTATTTAGTATATATATAAAAAGAATTTAATTAGTTTAAATTAGTTATTAATAATTATAATAGTAATAGTTATAATAATATTAAATTGAATTAGAAAATTGTAATAAAAAATATATATAAAGAATAAATAAAATTTTTAAAGATGAATGTTTTTAAGATATTAAGTACGTTACCATTATTAGAAAATTATAATAATGATATCAATGAATGGATAGAAGAATTAACCGAGTCATTTGAATTATGGGATATAAAAGAACAAGAAAGAAGATTTATTTTATGTAAAGAATGTGTAAATAAAGAAATTAGGTATGTTCTTGATGAATTAAAGGAAGAAAAGAATCAGGTTCCTAGCTTAAAAGAAATAAAAATAGCCTTAGAAGAATATCTAGAAATAACACCAAGCGTGAAATATTGGAACTTAATTAATTTGAAAATTAATTCAAATGAATCAATTAGTAATTTTAATTATAAATACTTAAGAAAATATAATGATATTGATAATAATATAAAGAAATTAATTACTGTTAATAATTATGTTAATTCAATTAAGTCTAGAATATATCCTTGTTTAAGAATATTAGAAGAAGAAATCGAAGATATAAACGAAGCTCTCAAGTATGCAGAAAAAGTTGAAAGAATTGAAAAGAAATTAAATTTAAATTTAAATAATATTTATAAGAATAATAAACAAAAATGGAATAATAATAATTTCAAAATGAATAAATCAAATAGTAATAAAAACAATAAGAATAATAATATTATGTGCTTTAGATGTTATGAGTTAGGCCATAAAGCAATTAATTGTAGACACTCATTTAAAGAATTAGCGGAATTAGAAAGAACTGGAATTTTGGAAATAAATAAAAGAAGAAATTTTATACCTGGAAACCATAATAATTATAATTATAAATTTAATTTATATGATAGAAATAAAAACTATAATAATTATTATCGTAGAAATTATAATTTAAATAGTAGTATTACTGAAAATCATCATAATATGACTAGTTTTGGTAAAAAGCATAATGTGAATAGAGAAATTTATAGAAATAATTATAATTTAAATAATAATTTTGGTAATAATAATTATAATAATTTAAATAATTATCTATATAAAAGTAATTATGATTTAAATAAAAATTTTGGTACCAATAACAATAACAGTAATTTAAATGAGAATATAAATACAATAAAATATAGAATCAGCAATAATCATGGTATAAA